TTTTTTTTTTTTTTTTTTTGGTTCTTTGTCACATGTTTTCTAAGTCATTCAATTCTCTGCTCAAGTTGGAAGTTGGGTTCGATTTTCTTAGACATGTTTCTCTGTGACTGATTTCATTTCAGATATTTATTGACTGGGATGGAAGCATCATCGTTGGTTTTCTGGACAATACTATTGATCTTTGCAATACTTAAAGTGGCAAGGTCACATGGAGACCAGCATCAGCCTCTTTCCAGAATTGCTATTCATAAAGCAACATTTTCTGTTGATAGCAATGCTTACATTAAAGCCTCTCCTGCAGTTCTTGGATTGAATGTAAACTATACCTTCGGCCAAATCTATAATTTCTCTTTCTTGTTTTACAGTCCATAAAAGTATAATAACTTTGAACCCTCAATGGATCATGGATTTTTCTTCATAACCACTGAGTCAGATATTGAACATACAGAGGCATAATGTGACTGATTCAAAATTTTTCACTCTTTTAGGGGCAAACTTCTGGCTGGGTTAAAGTGGAGTATGGTTTGCCAAACCCATCTGATGATGATTGGGTTGGAGTATTTTCTCCTGCTAATTTCAGGTAAATTCATGAATTTTCATTTCAAAACCCTCTTGATATAGTTACATATAGTTGAAATCTTTAGTATGTATGAGGATCTTGTTGACGCACTCAAGCATGTTGTGTATTGTGTTTTCATTAATTAATTGAACTTAATTTTATTATCAAAACTTTCAGTGCTTCAACCTGCCTTGCAGACAATCCGAGAGTTTATCCTCCATTATTGTGCACTGCACCTATTAAGGTTCATCTACTGCTTAATTGCCATGACTTTTTAAGTTGTATTTCTTAGCCTGCTTCATATTATGACAGGAATAAGATTCTACTACTTCTCTTTACAGTATCAATATGCAAATTACACAAGTCCTGAGTACGAAAGTACTGGGAAAGGGTCCTTGAAGCTTCAGTTGATTAATCAGAGATCGGATTTTTCTTTCGCACTTTTCTCGGGTGGTCTTTTAAACGTATGCTCCTCCATGCACCCTTTTTAGCCGCTTAACTCCATCTAGTTTTGCTTGAACCACTTATTCTAATAAGCTGATAAGAAAGAGTCTGTTTTCCTAAACTACCTATAAATTGCATAGCTGGCTAGCCTTTTGCAGTTCAGCTAAGCATTTATGCAGCACATGCCCTGTAGCTAAACTTATTAAAATAATGTTACACCCAGATATAAATTCTGAACCATTGAAGTGATACTTGGGCAATCAAATGGCAGTTTGATTTTTGTTTGGTCTAGTTGGAGTTTTTGTAGAAGTGCAATTTGGGTAGAACATTTTTAAGTATTGCATCATGAAATTTTGGGAAGATGACAGGTAATTTTCAAATTTATAAATTTCAGAAAACTAAGAACTCTACCTGCAAAGATCTTTTTCAAAAGTTTCAAATGTGTAGCTTCAACTCCTGTCATGTAGAAGCTGAAATTGACTTACAAAAACCCAGAGGCACTTAAGAAAAGGCTGTTTGGCCTTGATTCAGCTTCAGCAATAGTTCTGCAAGCTGATGTGGGACAGGTTAGCTGGGATGGTGGTTTTATTATTTGCAGGGATTAAATTGTGCTGGTTTAGGGGTGAAGGGTTAGGAAGAAAAAGAGAAGTATAGAAGAACCATTGGAGTCGGACTTAGGTTTCTTTAGGCATCACACCTAGAGAGGATAGAAAATCCTAGGAATAGCAACTAGGCATAATTTCACATGTTGTCAACATTGCTTTCCAAATTTTTTTTTAAAAAAAAAAAACTTAAATAGTCCAAAATAACTCTAGAAATATTGTTGACTGAAGGACCTTTTGGCAAAAAATAAAAGAATGTTGACAGAAGCTACAAGCATGCATGCATGCATACATACAGCTAGGACTTAGATACATAGAAAAAATAAAAGGAATACTGAACAATAATAGAAGACTAAAACACTAATAATAGACTTAGTCAAGTTCTCAACTAAGTTTTCATCATTGGTCATGCTTGGGTTTTAAAACCGGTTTTGGAAGTCCTTTTATAAACTTTGCAGGTAGCATGCTCCATCTGAAGCTAGGGCAAATGAACACTTAGACCACTTGAAAATCCCAATGGATTGCGCTTAGGACTTATAAATATACCGGACAGGCCAAACTAGAAAACCACACCCTCTAAACATATATTGGAAGATTTGAAATCTTTTGTTTTATAAGACCAATGCAGAATTCTTCATAGATTTTTTTCATTTTCATGCTTCAATTGAATTCTGAGGATACGAAATTTCTATGGAGCGATCTTTGTGGTTCAAACAGAATTGACTTTTTCTGTTCAGCTCAGTTGAACTGCTTCCTAATTCCTATCTTTGTAAGTTCTTTCATGCTGTACCAGGGAGAACTAAACCATCATGGTTACTCTGAAAGAGATGATAAGATTTTTATACTTAAATCATTGATCTCCTCTTCTTACACAGCCTGTCATATGTGTCTCTACACTGATGAATGTATTATCATGTGTAGTTCTTCTCATCTATGTGAATACAAAGAACATTTACTTGTACAATTAATTTAATAAGCTTAGGCTGGTAGAAAATGATATGTTTTAAACATTTAGTCTTAATAATTCTCAGACCGTAGGATATGTTCATTATATGTTCTACTTTTGTTTCTCATTTTCTCTCATTTTGCAAATAGAACTTGGTATGGCCATGGTTATATTTAGAAAACTTTTCTTCTGTATTAATCTAGTCTTCTTCTATTCAATTTTACCCATATGCATTTATATTCAAAATCTAATATATGAGAATCATGATAGTTTTTCTGAATTTCAGTGTTTCTATTTGCTAATCCTTTTCTGCTTCTGCCAACTATATATATTTTTTATTCATTCTTTCCTTTTCTTGTCAAAATAGCCAAAGCTGGTGGCAGTTTCAAACGAAGTAGCTTTCACCAATCCAAATGTGCCCGTTTATCCACGCTTAGCACAAGGGAAAGAATGGAATGAGGTAAGTCAAGTTTGTCACAGTAATCAAGCTTGCATGATGAGAATGTGGCTTCTTGTATGGGATATACTCCAAACAACCTTTTTGAACAACTTGGTTTAGTTTGGCTTGATGGAATGACTAATCTTGTTCAAACCATGAAAAGAACAAAAAAAAAAGGAAGAGTTTAGGAAAAGATAGGAATAAGGTGGGAATAAATGCACTTATGTTCATTTAAATTAGGGAATGAGGTGGGAATAACCATTCATAGGGTAAATTCCTACCTTATTCTAATTCCTGCCTTTTTTCTAACTTGGCATGTACTCTTCAATTTTTCCCTTATTTTCATGGTTCGACCATGGAATAGACATTCCATCAAACCAAACATAATCTCAGGTTTTTCCCATGCTTTCACAGGCTACTTGTATCTATACAAGTTCTGGCACAATACTGCTTCTTGGATCTTTTCTAATATTGCCAGTGTTATGGCCCAGATTTTAATGTTTCCTTGGGTTATCAAATTGGTATTCTGTTCTGAAGTTGACAATTTCTAGAACTAATCATGTTTCTTTGAATGTATTGCTCAGATGACCATAACATGGACTAGCGGATATGGGATTGATGAAGCCGAACCTTTTGTAGAATGGGGTCCAAAAGGACAAAATAATAAACGTTCCCCAGCAGGTACTCTGACTTTTGGGCGTGAGAGCATGTGTGGTGAGTAGCTCCTTTCTCATTTTTTTTTTTTTTTGATACAATTCCCTGGAATCTAGCTGAGGTTTTGCAAGTACTAGAGATGTGTCTGGTGGAAAAATCCCACAACGTTTAATTTAGGGGTTTTCCTGTTCTTATAAGTTGGGCTTCTTCACCTATTTTCAGCTGCTTCTTTTATCTATCAGTGAAAGATAATCTTTGTTTAAGGGAGTAAAAATGGAAGTGGTACTCCAATGTGTTACAAGTCACAGCAGGTGTCTCAGCAATTATGGTTACAATAAAACCTATTGTCAATTGGCATTTAAAAATTATGGTCTAATGGGATTTAAAGGGAGGATTTTAGGGTATAGGTTAGGTGTAAAAGAATTTAGGGTTAGGGCTAAATTGGGATTTGCATTGAAGGGTTTATTTTGGTTGAATAGGATCTGGCTGCAGGTTTAAGTTGGCTATGGCTGTGAACAATAATCCAAAGTACTGTAGCAGCTAGAAATAAATAGGAGATCAAAGCAAGCAATAGAACTGAAAATTAGCACTGAAAATTGTACAAATAACTCAGTAATCAGATGTACTAAATTCAAATGATTTGTTCAAAGGATATATTATGATTTTTAAACTCATAGGTCATGTTTGGTTGGATGGAGTGGCTATTCTTCGGTCCAACCATAAAGTAAGGGAAATTGTATGGAGAGCATTACACTCAAGGAATAGCCATTCCATACTTTCACTGATTTTCTTCTAGTAAGTGTGAGTTAGAATGCAATAGCCAAGACTTAGGAGGAGTTGTTATTAGCTATTACCAATACCAACTTATTTCATCTTATTAGAAGTAAATGAGGAATATCCATTGCTTGTATGTAATGCTCTCTTTACCAATTACCTTGTTTTTATGGTTTGACTTATAGCCATTTCTCCAACCAAACTAGCTCACAAGGATTTAGGAATAAACCAAATCCTTGTTAATAAGGACATTAACTACATTAAGAACTCTAATAAAGCATTAACCTAATCAGATTGTAATGATACCTGATACACTGTGAGATGGGTCCAATACAGAAAACAGTAAGCTAAATAACCATGGACACAAACTTGATTAAGCAACGAAACTATTTAACTAATGTCTCAGGCTACTTTCAGTTGGCCTTAGACAAAATCACTTCTTTTCATAACTTTAACCTAGGGCTTCTGAAGAAGACAGTTCTTTTCTAACCAAGCTATCAATGTGCCATCACATGGCTGTTTGAGGTTCTTAAGCTAACTAACTAATTACAGTGTGTTTTTCTTTTAGTTAGATTTATTTCCACATGTTTGACAAAAAAAAAAAAAAAATCCACATAATTATGATTTTTAAATTCTCTAATTCCTTTTTGCTTATGTCAATGTTGCTTCAAACTGCAGATGCACCAGCTAGGACAGTGGGATGGCGTGATCCTGGATATATACATACTGCCTTCTTGAAAGGATTGTGGCCCAATAGATTGTATGTTGATTGACATTGACTCTTTTTTTGTTTAGAATTGCTTCTCTTGTTAGTTTAGAATAGAATGCTATTAATCCATGGCTTCTTTTTGCTTATTATACCATCATGCTTTTGATAGAAAAGAAAAAAAAAGTGCAGTTCCTTGCTAATTGGTTGAACAAAATTAACTTCATTTCGTCTACAGTGCTAGATTTAATTTATTTTCAGCCATGAAAGATCATTGCCTAGTTACAAAATGGGGTCCTGGGGGGGGGGGGGGGGTGATCAATTCAAAAGGGCACTATCCTCTTTTGCTTTGTTGAAGTATCTTGTTTCAGAAATTGAATCTACATTTAGCAGTTGCTAGCCCAAGCCCAGCCCTTTTAAATCTTGTCAATTACCTGACAAATGAATCAGTTTTGATCGTTGGTTATATATTATGTTAGATTATGTTATCTATAATTAGGAGCTGTTTGATTTTTTTCGTTGTTTTTTGTTTCTATCAAAAAACATTAATTCTTTAATGGTGTATTTTCATGATTGGTATTAATTGGAAAAGGTGTCGCTTGATTTTAGCTTTTAAACTTCTCACATTAATTCTTTTCAAAAAAATATAGTAAGCGTAGGTAATTGGAATCAATAATTATGCAAATAAAATGCCTTTCCGGATCTTAGAAATGCTCTTGTATATTATTTTTTCTTGATGAGATCTACCTATAGTGATGCAAATAACTAGAATTGTCATGTGTTTTCCCCCATTTTGGGGCTAATGCTGTTTATTGGGTCAACGATGATTAGTATATATCCAAACTGCAGTACCTAGAGAAGTATTGCTTTTAAAGATGAGAGAACTGGTGCCTGTCTCTGTCAATTAATAAAATCTCTATACATTGTTCTCTAATTTTCTGTTTTGGAATTCGAGTATGAGCTGAGTGGTTTGAACTTGGACCTCCAGTTCCAAAAGCACTGTTAGGTTCAGTTAAAAAATGAATAGATTTGAATTGGTTACAATACACCATATTTCATAATGCTTAAACTGCATATTTCAAATGCTTTAACTTACCTAAATTTTATTAGATCTGACATTTAAGATTCACTTAAGTTCACATTTAAAGATTTATGTTCATCTTTCAGGCAACAAATTACTAAACAAGTTTCCACCGATTGTTGCAGGTACAACTACAAACTAGGGCACAGATTGTTTAATGGTACATATATTTGGAGCCAAGAGTACCAGTTTAAAGCATCCCCTTATCCTGGTCAAAACTCTCTTCAACGTGTGGTCATTTTTGGGGATATGGGAAAGGTAAGGAAAGGGTAGATGCATCTGAAGTAATAAACTCCATTTTCTTTCATGCTGTTAATAAAATATCATACTTTCAGCACATCAATTCTCTGATTGGTAAATATATCCTGCATCTATTATCTTCACAGTTTCATCTGAATTGCCATGATATTGATACTATACCACACCATACATGGTTGTCTATTTATGCTTAACTTCTTCAGTTTCAGAAAGAATATATTTTAAGCTTTCCAGAATGTATTGCTGATCTGTAAGTGATTATAAAAGCTTAAGTTGATAGGTGAGGAGTGACAACCCAAGGTTACATTTTATTTACTAATAAAGTTTCTCATGTTTGGGTATTTCCAGAGCTTAATCTTAGTTGTTCCTTATGTTAATTTGGAAGTCCAACATGGGTTATGTGTTGTCCGTGCTTTCAGTCTGACAGCTTGAACATGAGGGGTTGGTTTAGTAAATAAAGGCATGCTTCATTTTTCTTTAAAAAAAATAGTTTTTGAGAAACTTTAAAAAAAGGAGGAAAAAAATTCCTAGGCCATTGCTTTTCAACTTAAAAGTTTTAGATCTATCTGTTCTTGAGACCACTAAGATATAAACCAGGGAATGAAACACCCTGTGACTTCTTTTAGCTCCCTGGATGTAATTCCCACTAGCTGGCACTCTTTAGACAATTAATTTAAAGAATTTTTTTTTTTTTTTTTAATTCCATAATATTATGTTGATCTACCAACAGAATTGCAAATTCTAGTTTGTTTATTTCAACTTTTCATTCTGCAGGATGAAGCTGATGGATCTAATGAATATAATAATTTCCAGTGTGGCTCTCTTAACACCACTAACCAGCTTGTTAATGATTTGAAGAATATTGATATAGTATTCCACATCGGAGATATATGTTATGCAAATGGATACCTTTCACAGTGGGACCAATTTACCGCTCAGATAGAGCCAATTGCATCAACTGTGCCCTACATGATCGCAAGGTTTGCCATACCTTACCATAATTTATTAGCATACCCCATTTTGAGTGGGTATTCATCTTATGAATCTTAAATCATCTAGCAGTAGTAAATTTTCTTCTTCATCTTCTTCTTCTTCTTCTTCTTCTTCTTCTTCTTCTTCTTCTTCTTCTTTTTCTTCTTCTTCTTCTTTCGTTTTTTTTTTTCTTGCAGTGGTAATCATGAGCGAGACTGGCCAGGAACTGGATCCTTCTATGAGAACATGGATTCTGGAGGAGAATGTGGGGTGTTGGCTGAAACCATGTTTTTTGTCCCGACTGAAAACAGGGCTAAATTCTGGTATTGCCTATACATGCATACATATATTATGTTTAGACCATAGAATTTAGATCTCCAAGAACTTTTATGGCATCTTTGTGTCCTTCTGAGTCTTACAAGTCTTCTCATTACATGAACCGAACAGTGGTGATTTATTTGGCCATTGGTAAGGATGAAAGGGTTGCAAATGTCTTGAGTCATGGTATTATGGTTTCTTTGTCTAGGTACTCCACTGATTATGGCATGTTCCGGTTCTGCATAGCTGACACAGAGCATGATTGGAGAGAGGGCACAGAACAGTATAAGTTCATTGAGCATTGCCTATCATCAGTTGATAGACAAAAGCAACCCTGGCTGATCTTTCTTGCACATCGGGTACTTGGTTATTCTTCTGGTATTTCTTATGCAGTAGAAGGATCATTTGGCGAACCAATGGGGAGGGAAAGCCTTCAAAAGCTCTGGCAAAAGTACAAGGTTGACATTGCCATCTACGGCCATGTGCATAATTATGAGAGGACATGTCCCATATACCAGGTATTCCCAATACTTTTTGCAGTTATGAAGTCGTTCTTTTTTATTTTTTATTTTTTTGATTATTTAGCTAATATGAAGTTGGGATTCCCAAGCTTGACTTGTGCTGGTTTGACCTTTGTAGTTGTCTTTTTTGTTTCACATGCCTGCTACCATAAAAAAACTGTGGTATCATTTTTGTCAAAACCCTATGCCACCCCATAATTATTTCCATTTCTCGAGTATTTGGGAATGACACTCCATGAAATTCTTCATACATGAAATGATTCCTATATCTAGTTTTTAGTATCTGCGTCTCCCAGCCTCTCTCATGACCACTGAGTGCTAGAATTAATGATGGGGAGTGGAATCCTGGTCCAAGAGGCAATCTATAGGAGACACAATGAGAAGAAGAAAATTTGGATACAAAAATCTAGAACATCTAACTCAAAAGAATGGTAAACAGTAATTGAGTGTTGGCATGTAATCTAACTTTTTCTATAGAACAGCGATTAAGGAATCCCTTCTGTTTTGTATGTGAATGCACTAATATGATATGCATTTCTTTGTGAGAGATCACAATAGTATGAATGACAAGCATGAAAGATCATTACATGGACACCTTTGGTCAAATGCCTTGTTGAACTGTTTTTCTGGCTTATTTATGATACAGAGATGGGACACTACCTTTTTTCTTTTGTAAAGCAATATTAGCTGCTTGTGAACGGCAGTTGGACAAGAAACTAATTTCAATCTGACGATCAAATTTGTAAATTTTCCCTTTATACAGAATATTTGCACCAATGAAGAGAAGCAGTTTTATAAAGGCACTTTGAATGGCACAATACATGTTGTTGCTGGCGGGGGAGGTGCAAGCCTTTCAGACTTCACCACCCTGCAGACCACATGGAGTTTATATAAAGACTACGATTATGGATTTGTAAAACTCATCGCATTTGACCACTCAAACCTCCTATTTGAATACAAGAAGAGCAGAGATGGAAAAGTTTACGACTCTTTCCGAATATCTCGGGATTATAGGGACATCTTGGCTTGCACCGTGGATGGTTGCCCAAGTACCACACTCGCATCATAATTAGTTGTGGGTGTACCAAAAAAATAATCATAATTAGGTGAGGGTGCACCAAAAAAATAATCATAATTAGGTGTGGAAGGAAATTCTTTGTTAACAGTTTCCTTGTTTGTGTCATTTGGATTAATGTTTTATTTGGCAGCCCGTGCTTTTGCATTGATTATCCCTCGAAATAATACTTGTACGCGTTCTGAAAACCGAAACAGAATTCAATTGCACGCTATAAACAATGTTATCAAAATCAAGGGCGTGGTGCTGTGGTTATGCCGCTGGAACTTTGTTACAGCCAGACAATTTGATTTTCATTTTATTGGTTTATAATTTTTTTAACAAATAGTTATAATATCTGAAATTTATAGTTAATTTTTAATTTGTTAAATGATAAATATTAATTACTTTATTAAATATTTATTTTTTGAACATGCAATTACTTTATTAAATATTTGTTATTATCAATAACAAAATTAAAATAAAAATTTAATATTTTGTGTAACCTTAAAAAATATAAGTGTGGTTACAACCATAATCCAAAATCAGTGTTCTCTATACTTTGATGAACTAAATAAATCATGAACACTTTTAATTGTACATGAGAAATCCCCCAATTTTCATTCATGATACAATGTTAAGGCATCATAATTAAGTTATACATAGGAGCATATCCTTAATAATATTAGTGTACGTATTTTGACAATTTTCTTTAATATGATGATGGCTACGCTTTTTAAAATTCTCTTTCGCTTTCTAAAGATTTAAATTTGAAATCTTTAATTTAGAGTTTTTAGCTATTATCAATTGAGATTGATGCCAATATTAAAATGTTAAGGCAAATAATGGCAAAAAAAAAAAAAAAAGTTAACACAAATAATGAAATGGTATAATTGTGGTTTTGAGTTTTTTGGATTTGGTTTTTATAAATTTTAAAACTAATGAAAATAAAAAGTTTAAAATTGTTTAATTTTAGGTTTTAATTGTTTTATGTGAGATCTGTCCTTTTGCCTTCATAAGTTCTCTTTTAGATTAGTAGTTTAGTAAGTTCTCATAGCACATTTCAATTCTTTTAATACAATCAAGTTTCAGTTTTGTAAATAAATTTTATTATAGTTAATGTAATCTTGTTACTTTTGTTGCAAAACTTCAATTTATCTTTAAATCGATCAATTTACATTTATGCAAATAGCTTTGTTAAAGTTTATGTTATCCCAAAATTTAAGTTAAAGACTTATGTCGGAAAAATTATTATTGTTGAGCCTAAAACTAAAATTCCTAAACCTAAGGTGGGGCTAAAAGAAAATTTGATAATAAATGGGTTAAGGCTGATTTTTCTTTTTCTTCTTGCCCTCTTGCATGATTTTTTGCAAACCCACAGCCCCTCACCAGAAATTACCAACTAGCTTAGCTAGTGCCTAACTTCTTCTTGTCAAAAATTAGGTGAGATTTAGTTCTTCTTCTTCCTCCCAAGTCTGATTTAAAGATTTATAGGCTTATGGTTCTAAAAATTATGATAAAATCCAAATTTTGTTGCTGTTACTTTCCCTAATTTTTTGGTCTGTGTCAAGTTCTTGAGCAATGTAAGGGGTCGCCATCGTTCCAACATTTTCTAGTAAGAAATCAGCCACATACTTATCTTTCCATCCTTGATTTGAATTGGGTTAACTCTGATCCTTTAGGGTTTTCAATTTTGGGGGTTGTTTCTATAATTTTCCTCCTTGATTTTGTCCATAATCTAGTACCACCAAATCTAATCCCTTTTGCTGGAAATTTTGACATGACCTTGTAGTAGTATTTTATCCATGACTCTTTGTGTAGATATTGGATTAAGTTCATTCTTGATTCTACAGAGAGTTAAGAGATAACCCTACAGTTTTTCTGTTGGACATTTAACCCAATTAAGTTATTTTCAAGGTGACAAGTTTATTGCAAGTTTTGGTTCCCGAAAGTGGATGGAATTGGTAGCCCAACCTTATATTAGTATTCTGACCATAACTTTCTCTATAGATATCAAGTTAAGGTGATTCTTGATCCTATAGAAACCTAAGGTATAGGGCTACAATTGATTTGTTAACCATTCAGCTCAGATTCGTCAATTTTTGGGTGCAAATTCTATTAGAACTTCCGGTTCAAAATCTAACTAGAACTTGCCCTCAAAAGTGCTTAGAAATTTGCTCTATTTTCTACTCTATTCCCACATTATTTAGTGCCACATCTCATCATGGTTTTACTAGACCTTTAGTTGTTGATTTCTACACAAAAGCACCTTGTTGCTACTTGATTTTTGCTGTTGAAATTCTACTTAAATGCTGTCCATTTTTGCACAATTTTAGCTTGTATTCTACATTGTTTTCACTACTATTTTTGCCCAAAAAATCCCTATTGTTCAGGGTTTTTTCCAAGCATTTTGGGATTGTTACAAATGGTGGAAATCCCCACCTCACTATCTAACTTTTGTGCTGCTGTTTGGGGTAGTTTTGAACTTGGATTCTCACATTTTTCCACTTTATTCTACCCAAAAAATTTGTTTGGAATACCTACTATTTTGTGTGACATTTGGTGCTATTTTAAGCATGTTTTAAGTATGATTATGCATATGAATATATATATATATATATTAGTAAAGTTTCTATAGGTAGAAGTGGCAAGGATATGTAGGAAGAAATTGTTCCTTTGATTATGAACTTGATTCTGGAATTAGAAACCAATTTAGTTAAATGGGGTATGTTGTAATCTTGTTTATTCATTTGATGTGGTATAGTTCCTAAATCACTTCAACAGCCTTGAGTTTTTAAATTATTACTTGTTGTATACCTACAAGACGAGATAAATAAAATTATGGTAAATACCCTTGGATTTTAAGGTAAAGGTTTTAAAAGTATATTTTGAACTATTTTTTCATATGATAACAGGACCTAAACTGATTTTTATTAGCACATGAGCATAACTAATTTGAAATGAGGTTGTTATTATTCTTATTGAGTTGAGTATGCCTACATGGAGTTTACTTGATTGTCTTGATGATCTGAAATTTGTTTGGAAATTATGAATTTTCTTGTAACTCCTGCATGGTTGTCTCTAATATTGTCATGATTCTTGAAGCCTGTCGGTAGGAGTTGTAAACGCTGGCACATGCTGACATGTATTCCTAGAAACAAGTTTATCCTAATTCATTCCTATTATTACCACTAGTGGAATAATGCACTGGTTATTCCTGTCAGTGGGATAGTATATTGCTTACCAATGGGAGTTTGTTAAACAGTGGTCATGACTAATTGAGGAGACAACTAATGAGTTTTACTATGTATTAAATTCTTATAATTGAGATTTTTCTTCTGTTTATGTTTTAATTGTTATTTGGCATGCTTTAACTTTAAATAATGGCTAGTTTTACTTATTGAGGTATTTCACATAGTTTTTTTGCCCTTGTCCATCATTTTAGGTAACAAGACTAAGGACGTGGGAAACCAAGATGAGTGACGAGCTAAAAGGCTAGTCACTTGTATTTTGGACTTAGATTGTTTTAGAGATTGGCCTACTAGTCAAATTATTTTTGGACATAGATGTTGGGATATACATCATTCTTTTGTAGGCTAGATTTTCCTTGGAGGTAGTCATGACTATACTGATAGAGTTGTACAAACTTTTAGTGCATTCTTGACCTAGTCATAACCTTGGTTATAAAAACTAGATTTTATTTTGAGATTGTGGATCATTGTTTAGTGGATTGCCAAATATGAGTTAAGCAGGTTTTGAGTATTGTGCATTTGTAGGAGTCTCTCACAAGTATATGACATCTGTTTCACTCTTGCTTTTAGGGTGTGACAATTTACCAGTAGCAGTTTACTTAAATTTACCTAATGTGTCAAGATTTGCAACTTACTTTATCCTTAGTGTAATATCTCAGAATTTTCTAAAATTTTAAAATTTAAGTTATAGATTTATGAGGTAGAAATTATTATTGTTAGGCCTAATAACTAAAATTCACAAACCTAAGGGGGCGTTAAAAGAAAATTTGGTGATAAAAAGATCTAAGGTTGATTTTCCTTTTTCTCCTTGCCCATTTTTGCGTGTTTCCCCAGCCCTTCACCAAAATTTTTCTTCCACAAACCCTAACCTACACCCAACACCTCGTCACCAGAAATCAGGTGAGATTTAGTTCTTCTTTTTCCTTCTAAGTCTGATTTAGAGATTTATGAGCTCATGGTTCTTAAAATGATGATCAAAACCTAAATATTGCTATTGATATTCCCTAATTTTTTGGTCCATGTCAGGTTCTTCAATAGTGTAAGGGCCGCCACTTTCTAGCATTTTTCAGTAAGATATCAGCCATATTGCTTATCCTTTTATCTTTAATTTGACTTGGGTTAACTCTAATCCTTTATAGGGTTTTCAATTTTGGAATTTTTCTATAGTTTCCTCCTTGATCTTTGCTTAATATCTAACACCACCAGATCTGATCCCTTTTGTTGAGAAATTTTGATAGCATGACCTTACAGTAGTATTTTACTCATAACTCTTTATGTAGTTATTGGATTAGGTCCATTATTGATTCAATGGAAAGTTAAGAGAGAGCCCTACAGTTTTTCTCTTGGACACTTAACCAAGTTAAGCTGTTTTCATGGTGAAACTTCTACTGCAAGTTAAATTCTTGAAGGCAAACTAAATTGGCAACCTGACCTTATATTAGTATTATGACTATAACTTTCTCTGTAGATGTTAGATTAAGATGATTATTGATCCTATAGAAAGTTGAGACATAGAGCTACGATTTATCTGTTAACTATTCAACCCAAATTGGTCAATTTCTAGGTGCAAATTTTGTTAGAACTTTTTATTCAGAATTTGACAAGAACTTGCTCTCAAAAGTACCAAAAATTTTGCTCTATTTTCTGCTTTATTCCCACATTACCTACCACCACATTACATCATGGTTTTACTAGACTTTTAGCTGCTGTTTTCTTGCCTTAAAACCCCTTGTTATTGCTTGATTTTACTGTTGAAATCTTGCTCTATTAACCTTAGTTCTTTCCATTGAAACCTATCTTGAATCACATGTTTTTCTTGCTTAAATTGTGCTATTTTGTCTTGAAAATTTCTATTGTTTTGGTTGCCCTTTTATTGTTGCATTTCTACTTAAATGACGTCCATTTTTTGCCCAGTTTTGGCTTGTATTTCAACATGTTTTGCTGCTATTTTTACATAGAAAATCCCTATTGTTCAAGGCTTTTTCCAAGCATCTTAGGACTGTTTCAAATGATGGAAACCCCCACCTTGCTGCCTAGCTTTTGTGCTGCTATTTGGGGTAGTTGTGAACTTGAATTCTCACATTTTCCCACCTTACTTTGTTTGGAATA